ATGCCGAGAGAAAGTTGTTCTCTGGGGTTGAGGTGGGCAAGAATGAAACTGGAGGTTCGAGGCTCGGTCTCTCACAGTGCCAACCCAAGCGGAGTTACCCTGTTCTACGATTGTTGACTTCAGGGGCACCGTTAGCTGCTATACTTTATTGGGGAGGACTTTCAAGAACTGAATCCCTCACCACGGGCCACTTTGGCGCTGAGCCTGGACGTTTGGTAACGTGGCTTGTGGTAATGAGAGCGTCCCCACACCATTTGGATCACTTTTCCCGACTGTCTGGCAGCCGTCTTGGAAACCAGAGCTCCAGATTAAGAGCAGATCTGAGAGGATTTTGTATTACTCCTGGGGGCCCAAAATATGTTGTGTGTACCGATCTACAGACTTACCAATGAATTGAAAACCATTCATTGAAAAATTGACTAATATGAAGGGCTTTCTTTGCTTCAGGGATGCGACCCACCATTCCCAAGGAAGCGGTTGGTTAATAATAATGTCATAAGAACATCAGAGAACATAAGAGAAGCCAGTGTTGGGTCAGGCCTATGGCCCATCCAGTCCAACACTCTGTGTCACACAGTGGCCAATAACACCAGGTGCCCTCAGGAGGTCCATCAGTGGGGCCAGAACTCCAGAAGCCCTCCCACTGTTGCTCCCCCCCAAGCACCAAGAATACAGAGCATCCCTTGGCCCAGACTGAGGGTTCCTATCTATACCTTGTGGCTCATAGCCACTGATGGACCTCTGCTCCATATTAAGAACATAAGAGATGCCAATGTTGGATCAGGCCAATGGCCCATCCAGGGCAACACTCTGGGTCACACAGTGGCCAAAAACACCAGGTGCCCTCAGGAGGTCCACCAATGGGGCCGGGACACTAGAAGCCCTCCCACTGTTGACCCCCCCAAGCACCAAGAGTACAGAGCATCCCTTGCCCCAGACCGAGAGTCCCTATCTATACCTTGTGGCTCATAGCCATTGATGGACCTCTGCTCCATGTCTATCCCATTCCCTCTTGAAGCCGTCCATGCTTGTAGCCGCCTCCTCCTCCTGTGGCAGTGGATTCCATGTGTTAATCACTCTTTGAGTGAAGAAGGACTTCCTTTTATCCGTTCTAACCCAACTGCTCAGCAATGCCATGGAGTGCCCACGAGTTCTTGTACTGTGAGAAAGGAAGAAAAGTACTTCTTTCTCTACCTGCTCTATCCCATGCATAATCTGGTAAACCTCGATCACGTCACCCCTCAGCCGTCGTTTCTCCAAGCTTAAGAGCCCCAAGCACTTTCTTCATAGGGAAAGTGTTCCAACCCTTTTATCATCCTAGTGGCCCTTTTCTGCACTTTCCCCAATGCTATAACATCCTTTCTGAGGTGTGGTGACCAGAACTGTACACAGTACTCCAAATGTCCCTGCCCTGCAGGGCTGGCTGGTGTCTGGGACATCCGGAATCCCTTTCCTTCCCGAATAGACCCTCTGCTTCGGTGCTGAAGAGCCAAATGGTCCTTTGCTGTATGATTTGTACCTCTTAATTTCCTCCATTGGGAGGTGAAGGAGAGCAGAGAAACCTCCTTGTTTCTTCTGTTTGTAATAGCCTGCATACTGCCCTTATCTCGAGAACTCAGAACGTGTATATAATACTTTTTTATCGGCTGCCGCACTCTGGGCTTTTTAACGGCCTTGAGAGCCGTTTTCAAATAAGCCAGAAGTCAGCCCGATCGCATTTATTTATTGCGTACAAAACTATGCCGGGCCACCCAGAGTCAAGGAAACGATGAGGCTTTTCAAAAGCTTATTTGGTGTGGAGGCGAGATCAGACATTAAGATTATTGGGAAGGCAGAGTTTCTGCTGAAACGAGGGTTTTCCGCTGAGCAGTTTGTAGCTGAGGGCGGGCAATGCTCAGATCTGACTTGGTTCAAGAGCCCCTGGTGTGACACTTAAATTGTACCAGTATGGCTATCGGATTGTACCACCCCAGTCAAAACCATCCCAGCTTTGGGAGTTTTGCCGCAATGGCCACAGGACCCTTTTAAATGGAGATGCCAGGGATTGAACCGGGGGACTTCTTCATGCCAAGCAGAGGCTTTACCGCTGAGCCACAGCCCCTCTTGACAGCTCTCCAGGGTCTCAGGCAGAGAAAGGTCTTTCACATCACCTACTGCCTGGTCTTTTTTAACTGGAGATGCTGCCGGGGATCAAACCGGGGACCTTCTGCATGCCAAGTAACGGCTCTACCACTGAGCCACAGCCCCTCTTGACAGCTCTCCAGGGTCTCAGGCAGAGAAAGGTCTTTCACATCACCTACTGCCTGGTCTTTTTTAAATGGAGATGCCAGGGATTGAACCGGGGGACTTCTTCATGCCAAGCAGAGGCTTTACCGCTGAGCCACAGCCCCTCTTTACAGCTCTTTACAGCTCTCCAGGGTTTCAGGCAGAGGGGATGGGAAATACTTCTCCCTGAGACCTTGGAGAGCTGTAAAGAAGGGCTGTGGCTCAGTGGTAGAGCCTCTGCTTGGCATGCAGAAGGTCCCAGGTTCAATCCCCAGCAGCATCTCCAGTTAAAAAGGACCAGGCAGGAGGTGATGGGAAAGGCCTGCACATGAGAACCTGGAGAGCTGTAAAGAGGGTCCGTGGTTCAGTGGGAGAGCATCTGCTTGGCATGCAGAAGGTCCCAGGTTCAATCCCCAGCAGCATCTCCAGTTAAAAAGGACCAGGCAGGAGGTGATGGGAAAGGCCTGCACATGAGAACCTGGAGAGCTGTAAAGAGGGTCCGTGGTTCAGTGGGAGAGCATCTGCTTGGCATGCAGAAGGTCCCAGGTTCAATCCCCAGCAGCATCTCCAGTTAAAAAGGACCAGGCAGGAGGTGATGGGAAAGACCTCCGCCTGAGACCCTGGAGAGGTGTAGCTGGTCCAAGTAGATGACACTGACCTGGATAGACCAGTTGGCAGCAGCAGCCTCATGCATTTTTAAATAACAAAAGTGCATTTTTATGGAAGCAGTCCCAGTGGGAGACTCGACTGAGAACGCAGGGCATTTCGATTTGCATCTTTCGTATATAAGAACAGTAATAAACAGCACAAGCTGAGCAGGCTAGACCACACCCAGCTTTTTTGCATAGCGTTTTGTGGCAAATCTCAGCTTCTCCTCAGAGGAGCCCTGCGAGGTAGGCCCAAGCCGTGCCCTTTGTGCTTGCAGATCCCCACGGGCCGTCCTTCACGATCGGCAAAGCTGTCTGGCTGCTCTGGGGCCTGGTGTTCAACAACTCCGTGCCGGTTCAGAACCCGAAAGGGACCACCAGCAAGATCATGGTGTCGGTCTGGGCCTTCTTTGCTGTCATCTTCCTGGCGAGCTACACGGCCAACCTGGCTGCTTTCATGATCCAAGAGGAATTTGTTGACCAGGTGACCGGCCTGAGCGATAAGAAGGTGGGTGCTTTTCAGCTTCGTTTCATTACTTCCCACAAATGCATGTGAATTGCAGAGGGGTCCAGGATGGGAGGCGCCGGGGGGGGGGGCTCATAGCTGAGTGGTAAGCAATAAGAAGGGGGTGACATGATCAGTGTTCCCTCTAAGCTAAGTTAGTGTGAGCTAGCTCACAGTTTTTTAGCCTCCGGCTCACACATTTTTGTCCTAGCTCAGGCAGGAGGGCTCCAGAGCAAACTAATTTATGCATTAGCCAAACAAATTTATGCAGTAGCCTCTAAGCTGAGCTAGTGTGAGCCAGCTCACTGTTTTTTAGCCTCTGGCTCACACATTTTCGTCTTAGCTCAGGAAGGATGGCTCCAGAGCAAACTAATTTATGCAGTAGCCAAACTAATTTATGCAGTAGCCTCTAAGCTGAGTTAGCATGAGCTAAAGGTAAAGGTAAAGGTTCCCTTGCTCGAAAGCCAGTCGAATCTGACTCTAGGGTTGCAGTGCTCATCTCCGTTTCAAAGCCGAAGAGCCAGCGCTGTCCGAAGACGTTTCCATGGTCATGTGGCCGGCATGACTAAACACCAAGGTGCACGGAATGCTGTTAGTTAGCTCACAGTTTTTTAGCCTCCGGCTCACACATCTTTGTCTCAGCTCAGGAAGGAGGGCTCCTGAGCAAACTAATTCATAGAATCATAGAATCGGAATGTAGCGTTGGAAGGGACCTTGCAGGTCATCTAGTAGAACCCCCTGCTCTCTGCAGGAGCATAGCCGAAAGATTGAAGCAGGAGCCAGATCACTCGCTCACAACTTTAATGCCAGTAGCTCACAAAGTAGCATTTTTGCTCACAAGACTCCACAGCTTAGAGGGAGCATTGGCCACGGGTTCTGTACCTTCCCATGCTTTCGTTCCTGGCTCTGTGCAGCATCCTTCTTCTCTGTAACGTTGATCGGACTTGGAGAAGTTCTAAGATTCATTCCAGAACTAGAGCAGGTGCGCTTTGCCAGAGCTTTTAAGTTCCTGCGGTCCTTTTGTTGGTTCGTGCCCCCACGTGCCCTGGTGCACCGATCAAAATCCTGCCGAAAAAGCACCCTTGCAGCAACTGCACATGTGAGCTCATCAAGGTTTTTCTTGCGTGGTCTTTGGCTGACCGTCCCAGAAGAACCTTGATGCAGGGGTACCTACAATGATAGTCGTCTGGCCCTCCCAGATCCTAGAGAAGCCAGGCTCGCTACCACCAGGGCCAGGGCCTTTTCAGTGGCAGCTCCACACTGGTAGAATGAGCTCCCGGATGACATCGGGGCCCTGCGGGACGTTTTACAGTTCCGCAGGGCCTGCAAAACGGAGCTCTTCCACCAGGCCTTCGAGTAGGGAGCCGCCTTAATAAAACGAGACCCCGGCTCCAAACTAACATCGTCATCAACATGTCAGTATCAGATTCAAATTACCATCATCATTAACATGTCAGTGCCAGACGCTGCTACTGCCCACCATCGGCCACGAATAGCACTAGCACTCCACGCTGTTGGCTTAGAATATATCGTTATGGCTTTATCTAATTTTGTGTTTTAACGTTCTAAAATGTTTTGTGTCAGCCGCCCTGAGCCTGCCTCGGCAGGGAGGGCAGGATGCAAGCCAAATAAAATAAAATAAAATAAAATAAAATAAAATAAAATAAAATAAATATAAAAATCCTGGGGTTTTGGCAGCATTTTTATAATGCGCACGTGAGCACAGGTAATGTGGAGGAACGAAAAAAATAGCACTGATGATCTGAAGGCGTGTCTCCCCCCCCCCAAAAAAAATGTGGGAAATGGTGCATGCCCAGTGCTCTGGCCAACATTTGGAACATGAAACCATACTAAAGAATAAGATTCAAGCATGGTTGCACCTTAAAGGCCAACGAGATTTCCGGGGTCTAAGCTCTCAGGAGTCTAAGCGCCTTTCGTCAAATATCATGCAGGAGTCCCGACGGTGCCAGTTCCTCCCTGGAAACTGGTGCAGCTGGTTTGAAGTGCTGGAGTGTTCCCTCTCAGCTGAGTGAGTGTGAGCTGGCTCACGGTTTCTTAGCCTCCAGCTCACAGATCCTTGTCTCCGCTCAGGAAGGATGGGGCTCCAGAGCGAACTAATTGATGCAGCAGCCGAATCGCCCGCTCACCACTGTGATGCCGGTAGCACACGAAGCAGGGTTTTTGCTCACAGGATTCCACGGCTTAGAGGGAGTGTTGCTGGGGAGGAACTTGAAGGAGGAGAATTTCAGGAGCACCCAAAGAGCCAGAGTCCAGCAGAAGGGCAGGAGCTTTTGTGAGTCACGGCTCACTTCTTCAGATATCTCTAGGGCGCTCCTGGACTCTTGCTCTTTTCTGCCGCTACAGACAGACTAACGGCGGCTACCCATCTTGGTCTATCTCCGTGGGAGCATCCAGTTAAAAGTGCCTCGAGCTTGCAGGCCCAGGGCGGGGGAGGGGGGGGACATGCATCTGGGAAACGCTTTGTGCATTGCTGCTGATGTCGCCTCTGCAATGCACCAGTCTGCCCGATCGCTGTGTGTCATAACGTCTGTGTTCGTCGACAAGGCCGAGTGAAGAAAGAAGCCCAGCAGGTTTAGCCAATGTCCTGTGAGAACTAAGCACCCCCCCCAAAAAAAAAAAAACATGTCCCAGCAAATGTTCCCTCTAACTTGTGGAGTCCTGTGAGCAAAAATCCTACTTTGTGAGCTGCTGGCATTAAAGTTGTGAGCAAGCCATTTGGCTACTGCATGAATTAGTTTGCTCTGGAGCCATCCTTCCTGAGCTAAGACAAAAATGTGTGAGCCGGAGGCTAAAAAACTGTGAGCTAGCTCACACTAACTCAGCTTAGAGGGAACACTGGTTCCAGCATCAATGTTGCTAGGATCTAAAACCAACACTGTGTTGGCAGCCACTGCTAAAACAGTCTTGTTTTAATCAAATCCCAGTGGCCAATCAGAAGCCTTGCTGGGCACCCGACCTGACCCCACCTACGTCTGGAAAACACTTGTTGCGTACCAAGAAAGGTGTCAGCAGGTGGGGACCCCTGGCGTAACGTAATCAATACTCCCTCTAAGCTGTGGAGTCTCATGAGAAAAAATTCTCCTCTGTGAGCTCCTGGCGTTACAGTTGTGAGCGAGCGATTTGGCTACTGCATAAATTAGTCTGCTCTGGAGCCCTCCTTCCTGAGCTAAGGCGAAAATGTGTGAGCCAGAGGCTAAGAAACTGTGAGCTAGTTCAGACTAACTCAGCTTAGAGGGAACACTGGAGCCCTCCTTCCTGAGCTAAGGCGAAAATGTGTGAGCCGGAGGCTAAAAAACTGTGAGCTAGCTCAGATTAACTCAGCTTAGAGGGAACACTGGAGCCATCCTTCCTGAACTAAGGTGAAAATGTGTAAGCCGGAGGCTAAAAAACTGTGAGCTGGCTCACACTAACTCATCTTAGAGGGAACACTGGAGCCATCCTTCCTGAGCTAAGGTGAAAATGTGTGAGCCGGAGGCTAAAAAACTGTGAGCTGGCTCACACTAACTCAGCTTAGAGGGAACACTGGAGCCATCCTTCCTGAGCTAAGGCGAAAATGTGTGAGCCGGAGGCTAAAAAACTGTGAGCTGGCTCACACTAACTCAGCTTAGAGGGAGCACTGCCCAGCATCCTTTGCTGTGCCCTGTGGGTTCTGTGGCAGATGTGCAGACAGATTGGCTTTTTTAATATATTGATTTTATTTTACTAAATTTCTGCCCTGCCGTTTCCCCCGTCCACAGGGACTCAAAGTGGCTTAGCTCATTCTCCTCTCTGTTATCCTCACAACAACCCTGCGAGGTAGGTTAGGCTGAGAGTGCGGGACTGGTCACCCAGCAAGCTTCCATGGCCACATGGGATAGGATTTGAATCTGGGTCTCTCCGGACCTATTCAGACACTCCTAGAAAGGGATTTTTGAAGGGAGAGAAATGCCAATTTCTCAGACCTGTTTTGAACAGCCCGTGTCCATTCTTCCCCCCAGTTTGGTGTAGTGGTTAAGTGCACGGACTCTAATCTGGGAGAACCGGGTTTGATTCCCCACTCCTCCACTTGCAGCTGCTGGATGACCTTGGGCAAGCCCTAGTTCTGTCAGAGCTGTTCCCTCAAGGAGAGTTCTCTCAGAGCTCTCTCAGCCCCGCCTACCTCACAGGGTGTTTGTTGTGGGGAGGGGAAGGGAAAGGAGTTTGTAAGCCACTCTGAGACTTCCTTGGGTAGTGAAGGGCCATGGGGCATAAATCCAATCTCTTCTCTCTTCTTCTTTCCTCCAGTTTCAACAGCCGTACGCGTATTCACCTCCTTTTCGCTTTGGGACAGTCCCGAACGGGAGCACGGAGAGAAACATCCGGAATAACTACAAAGAGATGCACACGTACATGGTGAAGTACAACCAGAAAGGAGTGGAGGACGCTTTGGTCAGCTTGAAGACTGGGTAAGCCGGGTTTTGTTTGCGAGTTTTGTTTGAGCATTGCCTTCTGTGGAGTGGAGCGCGACGCGTACTGCACGTCGTAGGGTATCTCTGCTTCAGGATCCGTTCCCTTTGGGGCTGGAATTGGCTAAGGGTAGGCTGTGGCACGCGGGAACTGCTTTCTCCCAGGTAAAGGCGGAGTTACCAGGCCAAGCCTGGAAGGGACAAGCCGACTACCCTCCCTGAAAATCACCCAAAAGATGTGTGGTTTAATTCCTGGGCATTTGGGAGTCCGCTTTCTTATTGCATGCCCTTTCCCCGCTTTCGTCTGCCTGGGTGGGATAAGAGTCACAGGGCTGTTTTCCCTGCTTGGCTGGGAAAGCCGGGCCTAAAAACCCAGCAAAGCGGTGTGGGGTGTGCCGGGGTTAAAAGTTGTAGGTCGGGCGAATTCAGAAGACCAAGGGCCTCTTTTCCACTGCAAATCCCTGCTCCGCCGCAGGTTTTGCGAGAGGGAGTTGAAAGCAGGGTTGGGGGTCCCGGCTTTGGTGCCGGATAACCCACCCAAAAGTAGGAAAGAGCTGGAGTCCAGCAGCACCTTAAAAGACTAACAAAATATGGGGCAGGATAGGAGCTTTCGTGAGTCACTGCTCACTCCTTCAGATACAGCTAGAAGAGGAGTCCGTCTGTCCTATTGATTGGAAGGTGGAGTGATTTCACATGCGGAATGTCATTAGCACGCAAATGACAATGGCAGGTGAATGACAATACAGTGTGATTGGATTTAGGTGAGAGATGCAGAGGGGTAATAGGCCTGGAGAAATCAGCATTGGTAATGAGACAGGAAACCTAGGTCTCGATTCAGTCCAGGTGGATGCATTTTCTTGAGCTTCATGATCAGTTGCAATTCAGCAGTCTCGCTTTCTAATCTCCCTTTAAAATTCCTTTGTAAGAGAACTGCTACTTTTAGGTCAGCGACTCAGTGTCCTGTAGGGTTAAAATGTTACCCCCGCTGGTTTTTGAATGTTGTGGTTCCTCATGTCAGACTTACATCCATTAATTCTTTGTTGAAGGGACTGGCCTGTTTGTCCAGTGTAGAGAGCGGAAGTGCATTGTTGACACGTGACGGCATAAACCACCTTAGAGGATGACCAGGAATATGAACCTGAGATGGTCTGGGTGATGTGGCTGGGTCCACTGACCGTGTTGCTAGGATCTATAGGAGAGCAAAGTTGGCCTCTTGGTTTGTTGCAGGCCTTGGTACCAGAGTCCATATTACTGCTCTGTAGTTTGTCATTGGAGTCGAGAAGTTGTTTTAGGTCAGCAGGCTGTCTGTAAGCCAGAAAAGGTTGCCCCCCCCCCCCAGTGAGCTACCACCAAAAAGTGCAACCGTACAAAAGGGGAGGGGGACAACCCACTATTAGAGGTGCATTTTGAAAAACATGCCCAGTTCCTTAGATGAAATATATTTATGTATTTATTTATTTTTCGCATTTATACCCCGCCCTCCCCAATGGACTCAGGGCGGCTAACAAGGGCAAGGTAAACCATGCCATAATCAAAACATAATAGACATAGTAACTTAAAACATATAATCCATTAAAACATCCAAATACTTAAAAACAACGGTGCTCAAACCTCTGATATCATAGATCCAAAGATGGCATCGATACAGTTCCAGGTGGTACTTCCAATGCTGTTTGCACCCACAGGAGAACGGCTTAGATCTTCTTTGCAATACCCAGGTGCTTCCTCAGGGCCTCGTCAACCATGACGTTGATGGTATAGTAGGGGCGGCGGCTTCTACTCGAAGGCCTGGTGGCTCCGTCTTGCAGGCCCTGCGGAACTGCATAAGGTCCCGCAGGGCCCGGATCTCCCCCGAAAGCTCGTTCCACCAGGTAGGAGCCACCACCGAAAAAGCCCTGGCCCTGGTCGCAGCTAGTTTGGTCTCCTTGGGGTCCGGGATGACCAACAAATTCTTGGGGGAATGTATGGGGAAAGGCGGTCCCTCTCAGGTTGGCTGGACCCTGGCCATATAAGTCAAGAACAAGAGAATTCAGTGACTCCTTGCAAGAAAACTTAAATGGGGACGTTACGCAAGAAGCACTGAATGACGTTGCTGAATACTTAGCCACAAAGCGAACAGCCAGAGACCAAACGGATCCTACGTTGGCTGCCAGATACCTAGTTCTGGCCTTTAGTGTTTTTGTGCTTGTTGTGGACATTCCCCAATCTTCCCCAGTGCTCTGGTTTGGTGCCTGGTGGCCCCTTCCACCCAAGCCTTGGCAGAGTGGCGTGATCGGTAAGGTATCCGAGTGAAGTGCTGCTAGGTGGCGTGGGCTTGTTGCCAGCGGTGCCAGATGTTTTCCCTCCCTCCCGTTGCCTTTGACGTTTCCCCCTCCCCTCCCCCTTGGCGGCAGCCACAGAGCCTTTCCTGGGCGATTTCTGAACGCGGACATCCCAAGGTGTCTGCTTCGCTTCCCTTGACGGACGCCATCTGCGGCAGATGGTGCAAATCACCTGTCATGTACAGGAATTTTCACGATCAATATACGACAACTGCTACATACTCCTCCGGGGCTGGGCTGGGTCTCGGGGCACCTGAGGAAGGATGGGAAGGCAGCGGGAAAGCACTCCATCAGACGCCATTCACGCTGGCGCACAGATGCCCGGCGCGTTCCTTCACTCGAGCAACGGCCTGCAATTCAGCACCGAGAAATCCCAAGTCCCTGAAGTGGAATCAATTACATGAAGCTTGGAAGAGCCTCGTTGGAGTAGGTGGAAGGCCCGGCTAGTCCCAGAGCAGTCGGCCTCCGCGAAGCTCACGAGTAGGAAGCCAACTGTCTTCCTCTGCTGTTTGCTTGTATTCGGAGAGATGCTGCCTCTGAACGAAAAGACCGTGCTCCCATGAATTTGCCTAATTCCCTTCCAAAGCCAGTGACTCGGCATTGATATACCTTGTGGCAGGGAGTTCCACAGGTCGGGGGAGGGTCTCCAACCCTGTTGAACCTGTAGGCCCTCTTGGAATTTTGAGGTGTGAATGAATGGGTTTCCTGGCGCAAACAGGAGCTGTGTCAACCCACCCGTTGCGTCGGGTTTGGTTGCCATGGGTGACGAGGGGGAAGTCTGGAATGTTCACTTTCGTTTTTGCTGGCTTGCCTGCTCCTTCCTATCTCCCTAAGAAGTAGCTATGCTCCTGGTGTCAGCTTTCTCTTGGGCATAGTGAACCGTTATATTCTGGCGGGCTCTTACCCAGTGTTCCCTCTAAGCTGAGTTGATGTGAGCTAGCTCACAGTTTTTTAGCCTCCGGCTCACAGATTTTTGTCTTCGCTCGGGAAGGATGGCTCCAGAGCAAACTAACTTATGCAGCTGCCAAATCACTTGCTCACAACTTTAATGCCAGTAGCTCAGAAAGTAGAATTTTTGCTCACAGACTCCACAGCTTAGAGAGAGCATTGCTTACCTTAGTGTGATTGGCTCTATGCCATTAGAAATTTTTTTGGGGGGGGATTTAGTATAATTGCTGGCTTCGCACACTTTTGGGTTAGTTCGAACAACGTTCAGTTAAGAGTCTGGATACCTGTCAGGCTCCTTAGTCAGGATACACCGCACAAGGCTTCTTCAGAAGATAAGTGTTTATTTGTAGTCCAGTACTAAAGAACAGGTATGCAGCTTGTGTCAGGAATGACCTACAGTATAATGGCCTCTGACTTATAGTATAGTCAAATGTCCCCTCCCATGAGCTGAAGCCAATGGTTACATTTCATGCGAGTGGCCAAGAGCAAAAAGCCGTTCGCTTTCCCAGGCGAGTTAATTGCAGCTGGGAACCACAACAAGGTCAAGCTGGTCTGGAATGAGCTGAGAACGAAGAGGAGGAGTTCCCCCTCCACATTCCAGATCTATGACAGGGCTACCTGACAATACCTTCAATGTCTCAATAATCTTTTATTCTCTGAATGGCTGTTGTTGGGAACTGATTGCTCCAGGGTTCTGACAAACTGTTAATGTTTCTGTTGGAATGTGGCTAGGAATGTGAGAGGTTAAGGATCCACTGACAATCCCTGATTGCTGGAGAGAAGAGGCTACCCGGTTGTGTGAACAGCCTCTTGATTAGGAAGGGATGTGACCAGGAAGGGAGGAACCAGCTGTTGGAATCTTGCATTCGGGAGGAGATCTACTTTCCTGTGGGCTCCATTATGTAGAGAAATCTCTCATTGCCTTGGATGGCCGGGGGGGGGGGGGAACGATTAGTTTGACGGACGTCCTCAAGCCACCTCCTCGACATAGCAAGCTCAGACTTGTCCTTTGTCTGCTCGGCTCCATCTTGGTTTGGTGTACGTTTCCAGGCTGCACTCAGGCCTGCTTCTTGGCCAGACATGGCTAGTGCTCATACACAGGGGGTGCTTTCTGCCAGCTGCTTCCCTTTGCAGAGGCACATAGCGGGCTTTACACAGTCCCAAAATATCGAGTGACTCCCCGAGGGAGGCAGTTGTTTCCGACTTCCGGATTCGCTTCAAGGTTCTGGTAAAAAGTAAAGGTAAAGATTCCCTTGCTCGAAAGGCAATCTAATCCAACTCTAGGGTTGCGGTGCTCATCTCCGTTTCAAAGTCGAAGAGCCAGCGCTGTCTGAAGACGTTTCCGTGGTCATGTGGCCGGCAGGACTAGACACCAAGGCGCGCGGAACGCTGTTACCTTCCCACCGAAGCAGTCCCTATTTCTCTACTTGCAATTTCTTGCTTTCGAACTGCTAGGTTGGCAGGAGCTGGAACTAGAGACGGGAGCTTGCTCCGTCATGCGGCACATCCGGGTCTCGAACTGCTGAACTTCCGACCTTCCACAGCCTGCAGTTCAGCGTCTTAACCAATCACCTTTAAAGCCTTATACAGCCTGGGACCCACATATCTGAGGGACTGCCTCTTCCCATATATGCCCCAAAGAGCATTACGCTCTATAGATCAACATCCCCTGGTTGTCCTCGGCCCAAAGGCTTCTTCCGCCCTGGCCCTGCCTGGTGGAAGACGCTCCCA